TTGACTAGTGCTGTCTAATGTCAGACAAAATGTGCTAAAGTGGTGAATCGTACGGTTAGGAAGTAGTTCATAAACGATACATTGGTCTACTCGATACTCGATAAAAAAGAGGGATGGGATGGGGGTCGGCTCGGGAAAAAAAATTTGAAAGAGACAACAAAGCGTCTATGTACCACCGCCCATTAAAAAAACTTACTCAGGGGAGATAATTCCAAGTAAAGGCCTTAAAAGTTTACTATGATATTTCTTGTAAAAGTAAAAAACAAGTAAACGTATATAAAAACGAAGTTTCTAGTATTATATTCTTTTTTATTATTTGTATGATTCAAGATAGTACAGAACACAAATTCAACCACTATCACAAACACATGTACAATGGATTTCGGCGGGTCCCTAATTTATGCCGCAAAGTAGAACCGCGCATCATGAAAGCCACTTCATATGTAGCGGCTTCTCGTGCTATGGTCTTTGTTGTTTTTTTTAAAAAGAATTTTGCCGGCGACAGCGTGTGTTTGATTGTGGGGAAATAGAACTCGGCCTTGACGGCCTTAAAAAATACAACTATAAATAAAAAGAAATTTGATCCCCATCCCCTGCCCCATCCGCCACAGTACACTTTGGAGGATCGGTCAAACAGTTACGTGTCCTCTATTTAGCTATCAAAGGGGGGCAACGAGTCAAATGTGTCATTCAAATTTGAAGCGTTGCCTATATTTTACACTGTATTTTGTGTAAAATCGATTTTTTTTTTTTTGCTGAAGAGCGTGGTATAGTGACTGTAAAATAAAGATAATCGTACCGCAGCTACAGTGTTTTTCTTTTACAAACTAAATATCAAGGCAAAAATGCACGAAAATTAAATTCAAAATTTAAAAAAAATACTAATTATGGTCAGCAGTGGGCCCCTAAACGGCCTGCCCCCCCCCCTCGAGTTTTTCTCTATATATTTTGCTATGTTTTGCCTTGGTGTCACCCCCCTAAATGGTGTCACCCGGTGCGGTCCACACCCCCCCCCCCCCCCCGAAGAAAAAAGTCTGGAAGAAACACTGCCAAAGACCCACCCATATTATAACCGAATATAACCCCTCCCCGTTACGGGCTAAACATGAAATTAAACATTAATACATTCAAAGGTGATATAGATCTTTTGGTTGTTTTTAGGCTTAAAAGCTAGATCATTGTATCCTAAATTTGATTAACTTTAATGTATTTAGTGTTAATAACTAATGTTCAATTAATACGTGTACTAATTATAAAACAATTAATAATATAAAGACGAGCCTTACCTTCCTTGTGTGAATTAGACTCGTCAACAAAATACTTCATCAGGTAAATGAACAACTACTGACTAGTGTCTTTAACAAAATGTGCAGAAGTGGTCAGTTTACAGTTCAGTAGTTCATAGACGGTTCGTTAATCTATGCATTACATCTTATTGTAAGAGTAAGATTGTGGTGAGGGGTAGAGGTGAGGGGTAGGGGTGAGAGGGGGTTGAGGGGGGAGGGGTGAGAGTTGGGAAGGTTCAAGGGAAGGGGACTAGAAAGTGCCGATAAACATCTACATCAATAATGCCGACTTTTTCCGGTCGTCTAGAAGACCAGAATAGTCGCCGTAACATTTCCCCAGCCCGATTTCAAAGCGTGCCGGCAAAAACTTCAGATGCTTCGCTAAAGGGAGATAACTTAAACTTTCACAAGTTTATTGATACAGTTGTTAAAGTAAAAATGAACGCAATTATAAATGTATGACATCGAAATAAATAATTATATTTTTTGTAGAGTCCAGGCCAGTAGTTTAAACACACAATCATATATATATATATATATATATATATATATATATATATATATATATATATATATATATATATATATATATATATATATATATATATATATATATATATATATATATATATATTTATATATTTATATATATATATATATATATATATATATATATATATATATATATATATATATATATATATATATATATATTATATATATATATATATATATATATATATATATATATATATATATATATATATTTATATATTTATATATATATATATATATATATATATATATATATATATATATATATATATATATATATATATATATATATATATATATATATATATATATATATATATATATATATATATATATATATATATATATAAATATATAAATATATATATATATATATATATATATATATATATATATATATATATATATATATATATATATATATTTAATAATGAAAACAATATAACAATCCCTTTTTGTTCTCCTAATCGACGCCACTAAAAGTAAAAAGGTAGGCTACGTCTTTGAATTTGTCTATATGTCTGGCGGTCTCTCGAGCTATAGTCTGTGCATTTTTCTCAAAGACGTTTGCCGACTATCGTGTTTTTTTGTAACTGTAGAAGAAAGATAACTCAACCTCCACCTAATTTAAAAAAAAAAAAATTAATTTTAAAAAAATAAAAAATTTTACATTTTTTTTTAAATAATTTAGCCAGGATTTTTGGGCCCCCAATCGGTCTGCCCCCCCCCCCCCCCCCGCATTGCGGTGTCTGGCGGCACTGTTGTTCCGCCCCTGCGTCTTTGAAGTTGTCTATATGTCTGGCGGTCTCTCGAGCTATATTCTGTACATTTTTTTCAAAGACGTTTGCCGACTATCGTGTTTTTTTGTAACTGTAGAAGAAAGATAACTCGACCTCCACCTAATTTTAAAAAAAAATTTTTAATTTTTTTTTGTTTTAATTTTTTTTTTACATTTTTTTAAAAAATAATTTAGCCAGGATTTTTGGGCCCCGAATCGGTCTGCCCCCCTCCCCCGCATTGCGGTGTCTGGCGGCACTGTAGTTCCGCCCCTGCGTCTTTGAAGTTGTCTATATGTCTGGCGGTCTCTCGAGCTATAGTCTGTACATTTTTTTCAAAGACGTTTGCCGACTATCGTGTTTTTTTGTAACTGTAGAAGAAAGACAACTCGACCTCCACCTATTTTTTTTTTTTTTTTTAATTTTTTTTTAAAATTTTTTTTTTAAATAATTTAGCCGGGATTTTTGGGCCCCCATTCGGTCTGGGCCCCCCCGCATTGCGGGGTCTGGCGGCACTGTAGTTCCGCCCCTGGATACCAGTGCAGACAGTAAAAATAATGACCATGTAGATAAGACTATAATTTATTATTTTTATTAAAATGTGTTTTTTCAGTTAATTTTGATGTAGTAGATTGTACAAGCTTGTCAAGTGTAGCAGAGTCTGGCATTGGTTATCAATCACAAGGTTCATATTTCAATGTTATTAAATCACGTCAGAATATAATTTAAAAAAAAAACAAGTTGTAGTTATTTAACTTCATTGTTTAGCTAATACTAAAATTTTAGTTATGCTTTTTATATTTATCTTTTGTGGAAGCTGGCAGTTTTAATTCAAGAGCTCAAGTGGACGGTACAAGAGAGGACCCTGTCGCTTCAGCTCAGCAAAGTAATTCTCATCACGGTAAATAAGTTTACAATATGTGTATTTGTTAAAAATTTCACGCCTTTGATAGTTGCTTGAAACGTTTTTCTGAAATTTGAAGCTATAAAACTAACGTTTCATTTATCAAGTAAAATTTAAAATTCAATTCATTGCCGACCCATATGATCACAGCACAATTCGAACAATTAAGAAAAAATGGATAATTTAGAATTCTAATTTAAAGATTGCTGAATATAGACAAGAGGTAAACTTAATCGAGTTCATGAATAAAGATACAGAAAAACTGGACTCTTCTACTGGATGAACTGTGTGATAGATTGTAATCACTGACGAGAAGCCACATTGGTTGTTAACAGTCGTTTATTCACACCATGAGGAAAGAGAGAGACGGAAGTGACGAGAGACTTATATACATAAAAACATGTAAAGGGACATCACTCAAGATAACAATATAAATATAATACTAATACAGAAGAGTGAGTTCCCTTGACCTCACAATTATCTCAATCTATTACATCCCTTTACCCTTAGAACACAATAACACATCTCTCAATAGAACAATTGATAGTATCCTAAAATCACCAATTATATTGTAACATGAACACTATGGTAGATTACATCCTTACAAACAATGCACAATATGTTACAACACAATTAAAATACAAACAATGATGTCAAAGTCCTTTTGACCTTTAAAATCATAGGTCTAACTTATTTGGGACTTTGATTGTCCTGTTTGACCTTCTCAGTGGCTTTTGATTTGGTGACTCAATATTCTGACCATTTGGATTCTCTATCTCAGGAGGTCTAGGATTTAAATCATTAACTCCAGAATTTACATTTTCTGACTCTAGACAACTTGGTTCACTCATATCAACAGAACTTGGTTGTGGAACAAACTGAGTTGGTGTGAACTGTTCAGATTTGGTGGGATTGACAGATTCACACTTATTATCTGCACAAGTTATTTTTAACTGGTCTGCATGTCTACGGACAATAAGTCCATCATTTGTTTTTACTTTATAAGACACAGGTCCTGTACATTGAACAATTTGACCTGGTATCCATTTTTCCTTTCTCCCATAATTTCTCAGATACACATTATCATTAACTGCAAATTCTCTTTCAATGGATGATTTGTCATGATTTACTTTTTGTGTATGTTGATGTTGGGAAACAGACCTTTGAACAGTTGGATGTAGTAGATCAAGGTGGGTTTTAATTTTCCTACCACATAACAATTCACATGGTGCAACACCTGTTGTTATATGAGGAGTTGTGCGGTATTTGGTTAAGAACCTGTTTACTCTTTCTCTAAGAGAAAACTTGTTACCGGTATTCATTTTTACCATAGCGGTTTTGAATATGCCTACCGCTCTTTCAGCCAAACCATTCCCAGCAGGATGATAGGGGGATGTGGTTATATGCTCAATACCATTTGCCACACAAAACAGTTTAAACTCATGAGCTGTGAAACTAGGCCCATTATCTGAAACAATTTGATCTGGTAATCCATGAGTTGAAAATATTTCCTTCAGTTCTATAATGGTATCATTTGCAGTGATTGTGTTCATGATTTTAACTTCTAACCATTTAGAATGTGAATCAATAACAATTAAGAACATTTTGTTCATGAAAGGTCCTACGAAATCTATATGTATACGTTTCCATGGTTCGATTGGCCAGTCCCAGTTTTGCAAAGGTGCTGTAGCTGGTTGATTTGAATGTTGTGCACAGCTTGAACAAAGCTTTACATATTTTTCAATATCAGCATCCATATGTGGCCACCAGAACCATGATCTTGCTAGACTCTTCATTTTGGAAGAACCAAGATGAGTATCATGTAAAGTTCTTAAAACTTCTTTTTGTAACATTTTGGGGATAATTACTCTTGACCCCCATAGTACACATCCATCTTCTAGACTTAACTCCATTTTTCTTATTTTATATGGCCTTAAGTCATCATTCACAGACTCTTCAGGCCAACCATTCTTACAGTACTCAAATACTTTTATTAAGCACTCATCTTTTTGTGTTTCTCTTTTAATATCATTCACATTTATATTGGAGTTATCCATGATAGTGAAGAGAACAAATACATCTTCTGGTATATAGCTAAGGCTTTGGTTTTTTAAAGGTAATCTACTAAGACTATCTGCACTATTCTCAGATCCAGGTTTGTATTTCAATTCATAATTGTATGCAGTTAGTGTGATAGCCCATCTTTGAATTCTTGGTGAGGCATGCTCAGGTAGGGTTTTGTTTTCTACAAATAAACCTAGCAATGGTTTATGATCTGTGAAGATGGTGAACTTCCTACCAAACAGAAACTTATGAAATTTCTTAACACCAAAAATGATGCCTAAGCCTTCCCTATCTAACTGAGAATAATTTTTCTCAGCCTGGTTCAAAGATCTACTGGCAAAAGCAATGGGTCTGTCACCCTTCTCATCCATGTGGGACAAGACTGCTCCTACACCATCTGGTGAAGCATCACATGTCAATACAAGTCTTTTCCCTGGGTCATAGTGAGTTAGTAAGGTGTCAGAAGACAAAGCCTCTTTTGCTGTATTAAAAGCAGCTTCTTGTTGTTTACCCCAGTGCCAAGTTGCATTTTTCTGTAGCAGCTTGTACAGTGGTGATAGTTTACCAGACAGATTTCCTATGAACTTTGCATAGTAATTTATCAAGCCCAAAAAAGCTCTTAGTTGTTGGGTATTTTCAGGTTTGGGTGCTTCTTTAATGGCTTTTGTTTTCTCAGGTTGAGGTCTGATGCCTTGTTTGCTCAATATATAACCAAGAAAACTAATTTCTGTCAACATGAATTGACATTTATCTTTGTTTATCTTTAAACCTTTTTCACCAACTACTTTCAATACTTTATCAAGTGTTTTAAGATGTTCAGTGTCATTCTTACCAGTTATGTACACATTGTCAAAGTACACACAAACATTTGGAATATCCTTAAAAATACTGTCCATGACAGCTTGGAAAATTCCAGGGCTAGATGATATGCCAAAACATAGTCTTTCATATTGGTAGAGTCCTTTATGTGTGTTTATTGTCGTATAGACTTTTGAATCTGGATGCAGTTCTAGTTGAGTGTAAGCATGACTAAAGTCTAATTCAGTGAATTTGTCTCCTCCTGCCAAATTCAAAGAAATTTCCTCAATGTTAGGTATAGGGTACCTATTTAGCTCTATTTGCTTATTCAGTGTAGTTTTATAATCTCCACAAATTCTTATAGAACCATCCTTCTTTAACACTGGCACAATGGGCGTTGCCCAATCGGAATAGTCTACCTTCTTTATGATGCCATTAGATTCCAATCTACTTAGCTCATTTTCAATTTTATTCCTCATTGCATAAGGTGGAACTCTAGCTTTGCAGTATCTTGGATTTGTGTCTTTAATGCTTAACTTCACTGTTCTATCATTTAGTAAACCTGAATTGCCAAAAACACTTTTATTTTCAGATATTACTTTATCTATTGAAGTAAGACTAGATTCTCTTACATTTTTCAATGAACATGTACTCTCCCAATTTAACTTAAGATCACTTAACCAGTTCCTACCTAGTAATGGTGGTCCATTTCCTTCAACCACAAGAAGAGGAAGTTTAACACTTTGACCATTATAACTTACATGAACCATACACTCTCCTATTACCGGAACATTGTCACCAGTGTATGTTGTTAGACACTTGTGACATGGCTGTAGAGGCACTGATCCTCCTGTGACAGCGTCAAAATCTTTCTTTGTTATGACTGTTAGAGATGCTCCAGTGTCAAGTTGGAAGCTGATGCTCTTACCGTTGATATAAACTGGTACATTGATGGGGGCATGACTTATTGATTTCAAAGAGAACAGGTTGAAATCCGGCTGCGAATCAGTTTGAGCATTTTCACTGGTAGAGTGGTTCATTGGTTGGGTTAGGTAGTCTTGGTGAGAGTTAACATAGTGCTGCCTTTGGTTGCGGTACTGTCTTGACTGGCTAGATTTAGCAACAGACGAAGACTTTGCAAAGCAGGCCTTAGCAATGTGACCTTGCTTACTGCACTTATAACAAGTTGCAGACTTTAACTTGCACCGATGAGATGCATGGGGACCTTTGCATCGGTTACATTTTTGATAATTATTACTAGATTTAGATCTAGGCTTTGAACATGCAGGCTGTTTAGCATAAGTTGAAATGCTCTGATGGGGTTGGTGTTTGTTGACTAACCTGCTGTTTACTGCATGGATCTCTGAAGGTGCTAGAGATCTCGCCGCATCGGATGACTGCTGGAATGAAGTTGCAAGTTGTATTGCTTTTTCTAATGTTAGATCTGACTCGAGCAGCAACTTTCTTTGAACATCAGGGCTGTTTACACCTGTCACAAACTTTTCACATAGTCTGTCAGACAGCGTGTCTCCGAATTCACAAAATTCACTTAAATGACGTAAAGCAGCAACATATTCTGATATTGACTCGTTTGGTTGACGAGTTCTACTGTCAAATCTAGCTCGACATAGAAACTTTGATGGGGTAGGCGCATGGTGGTCTGTTAGCAATTTGCTCAGCTCGTTAAAGCTCTTGGTAGTTAGACTAGCTGGTGCGCATAAGTCTTTTAGTAGCCTAAATTGTTGAGGCCCTATGACTGTTAACAAAACAGCTCTCTTTTTGGCTTCTATCGTCACGTCGTTTGCTTCAAGGTAAAAGCTTAACCTATCTAGGTAATCCTGAATGATTTCATCATTCGAATCAAATTCTTTTATTTGGCCATACAGCGCCATTATTCTAGAAATACTTAGCTAATATGCTCTAGCAAACCTCTTTTTTGCGTAAGTAGGTGCTCTTTCTAGTGGATTATTTATCCTTCGTCGCCAATGTGATAGATTGGCAATCACTGACGAGAAGCCACATTGGTTGTTAACAGTCGTTTATTCACACCATGAGGAAAGAGAGAGACGGAAGTGACGAGAGACTTATATACATAAAAACATGTAAAGGGACATCACTCAAGATAACAATATAAATATAATACTAATACAGAAGAGTGAGTTCCCTTGACCTCACAATTATCTCAATCTATTACAAACTGAGCAAATCCTTTCCTTAATTTCCTTCATGTATCAACATAACATAATCTTTAAAGAAGACATGGCGATAGTTAAGGCGGAAAAAACTACTCGAAAAACATCTGAAAAGTTTCTGATTCTTCATTAAGAGATGAACGAAGAGCTGCCTTTGATGTTTTTATAGCTTCTGTACACGAAACATACCCGCACCTTGCCGAAATAATTTAGAAAACCGTTTAATAAAATGCTCACACACACAAGAATTTTGGAAGAAGAATTTTCCATATATTTTTTTGTTTTAAATACTGATTTAAACTGATTAATTTAGTTCATTTTTTACTTATATCTTCCCACTTCGTGCTAATGTATGTATTAAACAAACTCACGTATACTTAAAATATAAACCTGCCGTGTTTTCCTAAGTAGTATATCGCTGAATAATGTATTATGGATAGATAGTAAAGCCTCAACGGGGCACTAATAACATGTTATTCTAATTAAAACTAGATAAAGACAAATGTATTTAAGTCAATTGAACAACAATAATTCTAAATTTTTAATTATATTGATATCACGTGACATTTTGAAGTAGCCTTCAGATAAATAAGTAGACCCTTATACTTTGTTTTTCATTACGCGAACAACTACCTATTTTAACTAAGTAATAAAGACTTAAAAATGTGAAATATTGCATTTATTAATTATTAGAAATTGAACGCATCTGTCTGCTATGCATTTATATATAAATATTTATAAGATTTATTAAATATGATACCAAAATGTAATTAATGAATGAGTATAATTTATCAGTCCTGTTTTAATTTATAAAAGAGACAATGAAATATGGGCCTTGTTGTTTTAGATATGATATCTGAAAAGAAAAACGTTAAATACAATAAAAACAGATATTGTAAAGCAATAAGTTTAATATGCTTTAGATTTTATTTCATCAATTCATATGACATAATACGGTCTTGTATAATTCCAGATGAACTTGATAGTGTTCAGATGTCGAAGATCATTGACATCAAAGCAAATCTGAAGGCTAACTATACTCTATTAGTAGCAGAGCTGAACCCAAAAGATGTTTTACCTCAGTTGTTTGAGAAAGATGTGATATCATTTGATGAAATGGAAGAGCTAGGACCAAAAGCAAGAAGGGATAGTGCCATACAGCTGCTAGGAATATTGATGCGTAAAAAGGAGTCGGATTGTGCAAAATTTGTTGAAATTTTACTTCAAGTTGGATACACAGATATCTTCGACTCTATAGTGAACACAGATCAAAAGCCTCAGCTTGAAATACTTCCAGGTAAGTGAGAGACGATGGTTGTAAAATTATATTTGGATAATTTTATAAAGAAACTTAATTCTAATTTTAGAGTTACTCAAAAATTCATTTAGAAATAACAGCTTTCTGGTGTTTAAAAACTCGCAAATTGAACAATTTTAATTTTAAAAGTATTGGATTTAATGTAAAAGAAAAGTAATGTATTATTAATTTGAAACAAATAATTTTTTTTAGTTCAATGAGGAAAAAAAATATAATTATTTTCATTTTTAACCTTGTTTTCTGACATACAGTAAAAACATATGTTTTCTAATTATTGTTTATTTTTAAGCTCCTTGGTTTGATGAGCTTCCAGATTCTACAAAAAATAAAATCCTATCTGAGATTGACGCCAGTCGCCTAGCAACCACTCTTGGCAACAACTGGGAAAGTGTCTTGTACAACTTAGGTTTCAGAAAAGCTCAAATAGACCAAGAATTTCAATCCAACGGATCAAACACACAAAGAACTATTAGCAACACATTAATTAAATGGAAGCAACGGAGTGGGAGAAACGCAACATTCAACAATTTAATTAAAATATTTCGAGAATCTGAAAAACATAATAATGCTTATATTGACTGGGAGCGCCTGGAAACTTTTTTCTAACAAACACTGGTAAATGAATTATATGTATGCCAATTCCACCCAGTATCTGATATGCAAATTTAGATTTAACACTGGCAACACTTTCCAGCTCAATTAAAGTTTTATCAAAGAGTACATTGTTCTAATTTATTTACAAGTCTGATGAGCTTATTGCTGTTTCTTGATATCACTATAATAGTTTTGCTATTCTGTCTGTCTGTATGATTGTCTGTCAGGAAAGCTCTAGAGAAAACCACATGAAAACAAAAACTTTCACAGGCAATCTACAGGGTGCTAGCGGTTGCGCCTGTTAAAGTTTTAACGCTGAATGTAGTAGTACCCCTTACCCACTATGCAGGACGCACGATTAACGGATGCCAAATGTTAACATAGCCGCTCTGGAACTCCGGGCGCAAAATTGTGAATTGACGAAATTCGCAACTTTCCAGGCGCCGCACAAATCAATTTTTAATTATTTTGTTAACAGAAACCGTCTCGGGAGTATTCTCGTCAACTCCTTAAAGTTTTATAGCACTCGGATGAAAGGTGTCGTACCTCATTTGACTTTCATTTTTTAAGTATACCGTATATAGAGAAGAATCGCACCCATCCCCCGGGGCGCCACCCTTGCAAAATTGAAAAAAGATTGTTTAACAGAAACCTCCCCTGGAGTGTTCTAACCAACTCCTCAAAGTTTCATAGCACTCGGATGAACGGCGTCAGATCGGATTCGACTTTTATTTTTTACATACCGTATATAGAGAAGAATCGTTCCCTCCCGGGGCGCCGCCCTTGCGAAATTAAAAGAATTTTTTTTTTGCAGAACTCTTCCCTGGAGTGTTCTATCAACTCACTAAAGTTTCATATCGATCGGATGAACGGTGTCAAACCGCAATCGATTTTTATTTTTTATATACCGTATAAAAATAAAATAAAATCGCGCCCTGCCGGGTCGCCACCCCTGCGAATTTAAAGAATTCTAAACAACTTCTCTAAGTTTCATTGAGATCGGAAGAAGGGTTTATGCATAAGAAACAAACACACACACATACATTGCTTTATATATATATATATATATATATATATATATATCTAATATATAAAGCTCAGTTCTGTATGTAACGCATATGTTTGTCGTTGGTCTTGGATGGATTTAAGTGTAAGACAATCATCGTGCGCATTTGTCTAAATTTATGAGTTTAAAAATTACTATTGAAAGTGTTGGGAAATAATTTTCATTTTTCAAATTATAGTAATTATTGTCGGCATGGTCATTAAACACAAGTTTTAAAAAAATATCATCTTTTACAAAAATTCTAATTATGTCTTTATTTAGTCCTATAGCACTTACTTCCCTTTGATAAATTAGGAAAACACAATTACTTCCCTTTATAAAACCATTGCATTTTGTGGAAAATAATTTACTTTTTAATTACTTTGTTTTTGTGTTGGGAAAAAAATAATTACATAATTAGCGGGGATTGATCAAGTGCAAATGTTGTAGGTATTTTACGGATAAGCTTGGAGTATTATAATTGTTCATCAAATTGAAACAGGCGCGTTCGTTTAAGTGAGTGTAAAAGACTATGAATAAGTTGGGGTACTATAGTCGTTCATTAAGCTAAAACAGGTGATTCCGCCCCGGGCGTTTATGTTCGCGTTAGTGTTTTCTTTGTGTTTAGGTGGGTTTGCGTTAGTGGTTGCGTTTTGATTTGGTTCGTTTTTGTTCTTTCCTTTTTCGTTTTTGTTTGTGTTTTTTTTTGTTTGGGTTTGTATTTGTGTTTTTGGTTGGTTTTGCGTTTGGATTTGGTTTGTTTTCGTTTGCTTTTTCGTTGTTTTTTTGTTGGTATTGGTGTTTGTGGTTGGGTTTGTTGTTAGGTTTTTGTTTTCGTTTGCTTTTTTGTTTGTTTTTTCTTTGTGTTTGTATTGATGTTTGTGGTTGTGGTTGGGTTTGTTGTTAGGTTTTTGTTTTCGTTTGTATTTGTAATTGTGTTAGCGTTATGTTTGCGTTTTGTTGTTTTGGTTGGTTGTGGTTTGGGTGGGCAATGCCGGGTTTATGATGATTACTAAACACACAGGTAATGGTCTTTAACAGAAAGGTTTTTCACAGAAGCCAGAGCAGGGCCTGGCCGGGACGGCTAGTATATATATATATATATAAATATATAATATATATATATATATATATATATATATATATATATATATATATATATATATATATATATATATATATATATATATATACTAAATAGAAATTTCAATTTTGAAAATTACTAAAATCATTTTCGCAAAGATATCACGTAAAAGGTAATTGGAATTACAGACACATACTTGATAATTTATCTCATGGATTATATTACATTTATTTTTCAAGTTAATTTTTCCGTTTTATATTACTGAATGCCTACTGAAACAAACGCTAAATTTCGCCCTTTTCTGCTTTAAAAAAATTCTATAAATTTCCCTGAAAATTAATTACTTTGCAAAGTTACCTCCCTTGTACAATGACCAAATGAAGTAGTCTTTGGTTACTTTTCTTTTTAACAAAAATTGCTTTGTGTATATAAGAAAAAAATTGGCATCAGGTCAGATCTAACGGCCCTATGGGGATTTACGACGGGCAAAACGTTTTGTTTGTTACTCCCCAGGGTTGTTCACGTTGGGGTTCGTCGAGCAATTTTTTTAATTTATAGCTCATAAAAGGAGAATTATTTCAATGTTGGTCACTTTTTAGCCCTTATCGAGGGCTTAGAGTCTGACTGTCAGTTTTTTTCCATACTGCTTATCAGTTTATTGATGAACATTCAAAAAAACAAAACAACAACAACAAATAGCCAGATGTACAGAGTAAGTATCCTAAAATCTTTTCGGAAATACCCTTTGTTTTTCACATAAATCACAAAGATTGTATAGGGAAACACGACTGGCGAGTTTTAACCGCTCTACCAAATTTACGCAGATATGGTAGGTGGGGGGGGGGGTTCAACCTAATTCAAAACTGTCCGGTAATTTTAGGTCTATTATGTTACCCAGCGTATACCTGAGTGTGACATAAATGTCGTTCTTCACAATTACGGCCTGCCCCGTTCTGGTGGTGAGTAGGGTGGATAACCAACCCAGAGTGAACATAGCGTCCATTTTAGATTGCTGTTCTAAACATACATATACAATCTATATATATAATTCGCTTCTTGGATACCCTAGAAAACACCAAGCTGTAAGCGCACACAGCAGCCCCTCTCTTCCTCTCTAAGGATATCCTTACCACCCCAACCCCCACATGGTCTGGTGAGCTGTGGTTCACGGTAAATGTTTACATTCGTAGAACCGGGTTTAGTGACGGCTATTAGTGGCAGATAATTTAGTTTGAAACGATTTTAAACTTAGGGGAGGTAACTAAGAGGAGGGGGGGGGTAGGGTAGGGGTTGGGGGAAAGGAGGGTGGGGTGGGGGGTTATCGTCCTTAACGACCTAATGATAGTGTTTTAAAGCAAATATTTTCAGTGGCAGCATTGGTACTGTCGAATTCACAAATTATGAATTACTGAAAAGTAGAAAATAAAACAACTAAATAGCGGCGTATAATACGCCGCGGGTAGGCTCGTCTTACATATTTACTGATTCAGGAATATATTTAAATAAGTTATACTGGTATTATGAATGTATTTTTTTTAAAGAGGGGTCCATGGGGTCCATCTCAGCCAGTTAGGCACATATAATTGGGTGAACATATATTGAGTCATTTTACTTTAGCCAGCGTAATAAAGTAAAATTACGCGAATATTATTTTAAATTAAATACACACATGCTAATTTAGCCTATTCCATTGCTAAAAACAAGAATTTGTATACAATATTTAGGGCCTAAAATAGTTTAGCAAAGAAACTCTTTTATTCTTTACGTCATTGGAATACAGCTAGATTCTAAATCTAAATTTACACCTGTTAAACATTAATGGTAGTAAGAGATTTAAGAAAAATCTACATCGAGTCTTGCATATGTTTCTTATTGCTTTTCTAGAAACATGTCATATACAATCCTTCAACCTCTTGATAATAACAGAAATTCCCGATTAAACTCGAACGAACCCGAATAATAATGCTTTTATTTAACTCTGTCAATAAAGTGGTATACTGAATTTCTTGAGGTCACTAAAAGGTGTTATTGTGATTTTAAATATTTTCTGAATACATTTATGTTGAAAAATGTCTTCTGGTGTGTATGATGGACCTTTTATTGGAGGTACGCTCGTTGTTTTCTCTCATTTATATCCTGAAATATATTCTCGGGTTGTTTTTTTACGTTTATACTAGTGCATTGTTAAGAAACAATTCCAAAATGGCTAAAATTTTTAAAGCCAGGATCACAATTATATGGGTCTGTCTTGTGTTATGTCAAAACAAACCATATACAGGCTATATATTTTCTGATAAAAATTATGCCTAGACGTTATTTTAAACTGCAACGTTTGGAAATTTATTTAATTTTTTTATTGAGGAAAATGCTCTAACGTGTTTAAAACACATCAGAAATAAAAAAAAACCCACTTCTTTAAACAATGTTAGTATTTTTTTAAGAATTCAAATAGGCATTGCCGATATCAGTACAAAAATATCCCTCGCTTAATCTTACTTTAACAGTAGGCTAAGCCTTGACACAACCCAAGTGTCAAAACCCAACTTTAGGATCGTGGAAATTCCAAATAAACACAAAGCAACAATTAGAGCTTATCGAGCAGGCGGGCTAATGCGCAGATGGAACATTTCCACCTTAGAGATGTTATTTTTAACACACTTGTAACGGGAAGGAGCTAGAGTAAGCCTTATTTTGAGGCTGAATACCATTAAAATTCAAATTGTTTTAATGTTTTTAAATGTTTTGCAAGGCTTTATGAAGCAACGCTTCCGATTCAGCATATTTTATCGTACATATTCTACACATGGGATTCTGTTCTGCTTCAGTCTGGAACTAAGACAGTGAATTTCAAATAAAGACTGCCCTTAGTTAATAAAAATATATTTGCAAATTTAGTATTTATCGCTCTGAAAAAAAAAATCAGGCTGAATATAAAACTTCTCCCGTCCCCTAAGATATTTTAATGTTTGAAAAGTCGGGTTATACAAAAATCGGTAATGTTTACTAGTTTAAAAATTTTTTCGATGACAATATACATACTTGTGACTTATACAGAGTATAGGGATTGTGTTAAAAAGTGACATGAAATTTTGACAGATGTCGCCGTTTTACACGTTTCTTCTTTGTCGTATACCGAGTATAGAAGGCGTATTGTAATTGTGCAAACAAATTAAACGTATTAAAAGTTAGACTGCTAATACAAACAATAAAAGTATGTACAAAGCATAATGAATAATTAAAAGTACGATCAGGTCAACTCACAATATAAGTAGTCCACCACGGACAACTCAAATACTACTGGTCAGACTGAACTGAGTCTGACCCTAAGGTCTCAATAAAGATATCCCTAAGGAGCGACAATAAGTAGACATTCATACTATAAACTTCCTTGCACATTGATAGTGACCGGAATAGACCAAACACACTCCCCTGGGGGATCAACAAAGATCACCCCGGGAAGTGATAGTCGACTATAAAGGCATTAAAATAGTATTGAACAGTTCTTAAGTAAAATAACCCAAACCAACAGTGAGGAGTGAACCCTAACTGTGGGTCAAGTATAAATAAACCTCATCCCTGGCTTAACACAAGTCCAAAGGATACACCTAATGAAAATGACATGCTGTGAATTATTTCCTCACAGGAGGTTCACAAGAATAAACATTGTAATAAGCTAAATGTATAAACAAATTTAAAAAATAGACTTTATACTAAAGTCTTCTGTCTGTCCCACGTGGTCAGACACTACCACGTTGGTGACAAAAAGTCTAAATACATGGACAGAAAAATTTAGCCCACGGCAAACAAGCATAATATAACAGAAAAATAAAAGAAGCAACTATCTTACCAGGCCTTACGAAAATGAAATAACAATGTATAAATAATGGTTGGGCCAGCGATGACTTTCAATGCTTCTGATGGTCTACGTCTTAACCGACAGAACTTCTTAAAAAATGTAAGCAATGTTTCTTTTACAAAAGTACTTTAAAAAAATCCCACATGACTTTATTTAACTTAATTCCTTGGTCTATAGTGCGGAAGTTTGAATTGCACGGTATTATGAGAATAAACGAGAAAGTTTAGTGGAAATGTTCTGACCAGTCTTTCTACCAGACTTTTTTCTAGGGGGGGGGGGGGGGGAGAGACTAAATTTTCTCGGGGGGTTGGGGGGGGGGGAACACTAGTAAAAGTCTATATTTTCTATATAAATTTCCATATCGTTCGGGGGGTGGGGTGTGGTAGACTTTCGTGGGGGTGGGGAGGGGGGGGGGGGGTAAACTGGACAACCTGTCTTCGTTTATAGTAGAACGAATGTATGTTTTCAGGAGTTCAAAACAGCTGTAGAGTTTTTTACTCCGGCACTGCTTATCGGTAAAGTCAGAAATATGCGATACAAAGTGGATGAGTTTGGATACATTGAACACAAATCATTAGCTATCATGAATTTTAGATTGCTGTTAATTGTCGCCGCTCTTAGCAAAGGTTCCGTTTTAGTCGGAAGTTTGAAAAATTAACTTTTTCCTTGAGTCAGGTATCTGAGTAGCTTTGCATCTTCGTCATGGAATTTTTACCGTTTGTATAGCAAACTTATTTTAACCCGATGTTTGATCACCCCAGGTATCTGATTTTTGTTTAAAAAGCCAACAATCAAAATAAATCATATTATTTGCCTGGGCGAATATACTAACCAGTGTCGTATTATTTCCAGACAACATTTCGCATGGGTTTTTTCTTGTACGAACTGGCAATAAAGTGCCGACCCGTTAAATGTTTCGGAAAATCTTTATAAGTATCTTTGAGGCCTGGTCGACAAGGACCAAACTCAAGTAATGCACGTACCAGATCCGGTGTTACGGGTGTTTCACACAACAAAGGATCTGTAGGATATTCCAGATTTGTATTAATTATAACATTAAGTTTGACTGGCACTATTTTGTCAATATCATTTTCAAAATGGGTGTCTTTTAAAAATTCTATGGACAATACCTTATTGTCTTGAGTCTCGACGATTTGATTCTGCATATGAAATGATGTGGTTGCTTGTACATTTTCTACTTAAATATCTTCAGACACATCAACCACATGTTGTATTGTTGTTGATGTTAAAGTCGTGCAGCTTGAAAAAGATGTATCCAGTTTGGCACATTTGGATTATGTTTGTTGGCGATGTGAAATGTCTTTCAATTTCTTCCTCTCCCACCCTGAATATTTTTCCTTGCTGGTTTTCTTTCCATTTAATGAACTCTTAAGTAACGAATTCTAAGCACCACTGTTGTCTTAGTCGCAATATATACACCACATAATTTAAATGGGGCGATTACATTTTGATAATTACTAACAGCTATTCGAAACAAATTCAAACGATACAACAACTGAGCGGATAATTAACTGTGCGATTAATGTTAGTTTAAGTTGAGTTGTTTTGCTTTTTAAATACAAAATATAGACTAATTCAAATTTAATAGTAATATTAGTAATATTTAATAGTAATTAATATAAAGTTGCTATTGTTTCATATAATTTGTAATAGTAATCACTATCACCCAAACTTTCATAAAGCTACTACATCATCGTGTTGACCATGTCAAAATTTCCCCACTACGCAGTTCGCCCATAAGTAAATTTAAATAGAGGTGCCACATTAGTTGTATTTGTGTCTGTGCTGTAATTTAAAAAAAAATTAATTGTACGATTGAAACTTTATATATAAATTATCTAGTTGTGAAGATTTATTTATAGTATTTTCTTATTCAATTATTCTTTAGCAAATACATTATACAGTTGACTTAAACTTAATACCCTTCTTGTCAAGTGGGACTACCCGTAGAGGTTTTTAAACATTTCAACGCACCGTAATGGTTATTTTTAGACTGGCAAACTGATACAGCTGTTAATACCTGCTGTGGCCCCATCCCCCCTCCCCTTGCGTACGCTACTGATTGTCACCAACTTGTAAAATTTCTTTGCTATTTCTACAATGGTGTGTCATTGGACACTTTATTTTTGGTGCGGCATAATCTTGCTTTCTTTTGAGAAAACTGGTTAAGCTGTGTTTCATATTTCATCACCTGAAGTACACAAATAAACATATCAAGTTAGCCATTATTTAACTGTATTAGAATAAAACTTATTGTTCCAATAGAACACCAACATTTATTTCCTTATAACATCTCTAACAATAATTAGTCAAACTACTATGCTTGTGTCATAACTAACATTTCTGCGCTAAATAAACTCTAACGTATAATTAATAATATTGGTAATTCAGGCAAACTTTCCTGACATGTAGTATACCCAATCAATAAAAGATATTACATTATAAATGAATATGTAGAGTGCCTTTAATTACTGTCTAGTAAACATTGTTTATGTTTTTATAACAAACCCTCATGATTTTGCAATGTATCTGAAGTGTTTTCCTGTCATCTGTTTGATGGATGCTTCAAACTTTTCCTTTCATATTACTCAAAAAAATACTCTGGACTCCATTTTATTTCAGTAACTTGCAGCTTCTGAAAAATAATTAACAAATTATAAACGCCATTATATAAACTTCTAGGATGTTGGGAAATTGCGAGACGCGAAAAGGCGAGGCAGTAAACTGCGAGAATAAAATGCGAGACATATCTGTGGAATCTTGGGTAAACAGCGAGACACAGTTTGTGAAAAAAAATGTGTTTCATGTTGGTTTTTTTTACTTTTGTACTAAAGAAGTCGATATACCACGAAGGTTGTATGTTCTTCTATTTTTAAAATATAGTTTTGATTTGTTTATATATTGACCGTATATATACATTTCTACTATATTTAAAAAAAAAATCTTAACATCCTATGACCGCAAGCTCTCGTTTTCTTGTCAGCGGGAGAAAATACCCGTCTCTATAGACGGGTCATTGTGAGTTACTAATTTTTTAATTTTCTAATTTGCGCGAGATTGTTGTAGTGATATGTGTGCAAAAATAGTTATTTAGTAATACTAGTAAGTAAATAGTATTAAATAAGCCTATTAATAAAAAAAACAACAACATATATTCACTGTAGCCATTTCGCATTTGGCTACATTGCCTTATTCAGAGACTTATGTTTCAATAATAGGCTATTATCAAAATAATCATCGCAACCTAAGTGACATTATTAAATATTAAATAACATTAAATATTAATTACTATTCCTATGCCATATATATGGCTACCTGTAAGTAGGGCTAACATCTATTTTCGATTTCAATAAGTGTGTAAATCATATTACATGCCATACTATATATGATAGAATATTCACAATTTAGAAAAGTTTTGAAATATCATTAAAAAAATTTTAAGTGAAGTAAAAGGTACTTTGTCAATAAACACATTGTAAAAAAATACCAACCTCCATGGTGATCAGC